CATTTCAGAGAGTTCACATTGATTTCTGTCAAAAGGATAATGATTATCTTTTTGTGTTAGTGGACAGTCACTCAAAGTGGATAGAGGTGAAACATATGACCTCTACTAAAGTAGAGAAAACCATAGATGAGTTACGTTTAATTTTTGCCACTCATGGTTTGCCTGAGGAAGTAGTTTCAGACAATGGCCCTCAGTTTGTGTCTTATGAGTTTACAGAATTCATGCACAAAAATGGAATTAAGCATACTTTAGTTCCCCCTTACCACCCACAATCGAATGGAGCAGCAGAGAGGTCTGTCAGAGTTGTAAAAGAGTCTTTGACCAAGCAGGTGCTCGAAGGGAAAAAGGGATTGTCCATGAAGCACAGACTAGCTAATTTTCTTTTGAGATATCGCACCACTCCGCACAGCACCACAGGGGTTACTCCTGCTGAACTTATGGTTAAAAGACAACTAAGAACTAGGTTARGTTTAGTCAAACCTMATTTAGCACAGTTTGTTGAAACTAAGCAAGCTAAACAAAAGGAGCATAAAGCTTCCAAGCTCTCTAAAGAGAGATTGTATGAGATATCAGATAAAGTACGTGTAGATCTAGATCTCAATTTGAAAAATGGATTCCAGGAACTGTAGTTAAGATTTGTGGTCCCAGGACCTATATTGTTAAAACAGGATATCGTAACAGATATGTCAACACTGATCACATGATTAAGGCACATGATGACATTTCAGACAAAGCTATTGAGACAGAGGTCACCATTCCTGATTCATGTGAACAGCCTGGTCATGAAAATAAAGACAAAATACGGGCTGACGTATCTATTGTACCAGATAGTGTATCACTGTTCCCTGAACCGTCAGTACCATCGGATGATATAGTTTCAGAGACTGTAAGCACACCAATCGTTTTGAGRAGATCTCAGAGAATTAGAAAAGCTGTTGATAGGCTTGATCTTTAAGTTAACGTGTTATGTTATCATGTTATTGTTGTTGTTAATATTCAGTATACACTCACTTCTTTTGGTGGGAAAGTAGTGTAATATATTCATACTTCATTGTATTACCCTTGATGCTAGAGAAGGAATATAGCAGTCAGAGAACCAAGCTGTCTCATGATGTGTTGATTTGTAAACTAGTGGGAAGATACCACAGTTTATATCAGTAATTCATATTCATGATTATGAAGAATGCATATTGCATACATTGAAATATTTGCAATATTTACCGCATATCCTTTTGTGGTACTTGAAGTTGTTTAAATGTAGTTTAATATATAAATGTTTATATTTTTGATCATATTTTATAGTTTGGTTAAGTTATATTTTTGATACAAGTAAGTTTGATGTAAAACGTATGGTTTTGTGTATTATTTTTTAGTCATAAAATCAAAAAACATGAATAAAACTTTACATAACAAAACAACATCTAAGCTTATTCCACCTGGACTACATTCGTTTTCTCCATTTCTGATTAAAAGCGTTCAATAGAAGAATTTACATACCACTTTCATTGATTTCCATGTTCCTCGACCATGATCCAACGAGATTAGCCTTCGATTCTATTGATCAGTGGTTTTCAAAATGGGTTTCGTGTTTTTCGATGAGCGTTTTGATGGGTTCCCTGTGGCGTTTTCATTTCAAGATGGCGGCGGGTGATCGTGGTTCGATCTAATCGAATTTCAATTCACCGGTCGAATAAAAGGTATTCTATTCTTTTTTTAAGTATATTTTATGGGGGGTCCATTTTGGTAGTCCATATTGGTGGTCCATGGACCAAAAGTATATCAGGGAAGTATACACTAAAGTGATCCATTACTATGATGTGTGTCATGTAGCCAAAGGTAAAAATCATTATTAGCAATCTCAAGACAACAGCCAGTATAAACTGTTTCGATTTTGCTTTATCTACATTGTAGGTTTAAAGAAAAAGCTTGTTTCCCAATAAGAAAAGTTTTGAACTGGTTGGAAATTGGGTAAAAATGCATTACAAACCATTTGTACTGGGTAGCAAAATCAAGGTTAGTTGAAACGGTTATAATGTGACTGTGTACAAAAAGTAAAAACATTTTTCATCCTTAGAAAAGTAAAGTATTTTGTAGAACATCAAATCTTCTTGAAATATCAAACCCAAAATTGTAATGAAAGGATGATTGTTTTTTGCTATTGTAATTTTATTGTTTATAGGTTGCACAGTTTACAATGACTTTCTGATATTACCAAAACCCTGATTATTCTGGAAAAAAATAAGGTAAAATAATAAAGTAGCTAGAATTACACTATACTGTGGCTGTATCTTGAAATATTTATGCTCAACAACGTCCATGACAAAAAAACCTATGTCTGCTTATCACAGCAATGGAGATGGAGACTTAGCTACAGCCAAGTGGGATTCCCTTATGAGTCATCTACAAAACATCCACAAACAACAAAAAACACAAAGTTAAAAAAATGCACACATAAAAAGATTAAAAGACAGTGGTTTAAACCAGGTATTTACTAACAAAAAAATACTAAACTTTTTGGGGTTACATTGAAATATACTTGCATGTTGTTCATTCATCTGAATGGTTTCTTGCTTTTAGGTGCTGAAGACACAGTTAAACTATCTGAAATTATTGAAAGCACTAGAATACGAAACAAGGTGGCCAAATTGTCTCCACTGGGGCAAACAAACTCGCTAGACGGGTATCACAGTATCGTAAATCAGTTTTGTCCGAAAATGATCCATTTCTCATACAAAGTTATGTATGCAAGGTAATAAAAAATTTGGATTTTTTGGTTACATTTTATGATTATTTTATGACCAAAATTTTGGCCTGTACACAGGCTACATTCATAAATGTTGTTCTTTTATTTTTAAGATAATAAAATCACACACTTTCATAAAATGTAACTAACCTTTTAGTAGTAAAAACATGTTTCCTTCCTTTTAGAATTTGACTGGCTGCTCTTCACTTCAATGAAAACACTGGACGGCCAACTAAAAGAAATAAGGAAGGGCATGAAGAGTACTCTATTAAGTTCCCTAAAGCTAAGAAAGGTGGCCATATAGTGGTTACTATACCAATAAATTGTACTTATGGTAAGTAGACTAATAGAATATTAGTGTAGTAAACATTTAAAAAATAATTGTTATGTGTACTTGCTCTAAAATTGCTGATGAGTATTTCATCACAATCATCATTTGTTAGTTAACGTTTATGTTTAACTTTCCTTTAGTTGAATAAAATGTAATACTTATGTAATAGTGTAAATTATGACTACTTATTATGCACTTAGTGTTGATCAGACAATACAAAAAAGGAATTACCAAATATCACTTTTCATTATAATGCTGGAGCCAACACTTGCAATGTGTGAAACGTTTAAGTTTAATTCTTGTAATAAATATAATACAAAATAGTAATAACTTGGAGTATGACAATTCCTTTGTTTCCTTATTAACGCTATTTAGTAGCAATTGGCACCTTTTTTTCACCTTACATCCACTCTAGCTTTTTCACATATAAATAATTTCACAGATATATTGTTACAAAAGCACATAAGTGTCATGGTATAAGATAAATAGCAGTGCATACATGTATACTTACTTATAATTAATATGCATGTTTTCTCTTTGAAGCCTATGTTAAAAATGCATTTGAGGAGCTCTTTTCTGTACTTGGAAAAAATAGTGACGAGCAAGATCTCAATAATGTCCCACCAGAGCCAATGTGCAGTAAGATAAGCAGACCAGTAAAGGAAGAAGCGGTTAAGGCACACACAACACGATACTGATAGCATATTACCAGAAATAAAGTCATCAGTAACTTATAGTTTACGCATTGAAATTTGTCTAATATAAGCTTAAATGTCTTCCTCAATTACTTGCACTGGTTAGATTTCTTTGTATTTCAGTGTATTGTTTAGCTGCTACTCCATTGTTTTGATCTTTTCTTATTGTTGACATAAGGCTATTACTCGTCAGAGAAATGAAATCCTTCGAATGTAAAATTTTCCTCTAATCCTGGAGGGGGGAAGTGGGCTCGAATACATGAAACAACACACGCCGGCAAAACTACACGGATATTTCGTCCCAACCATCCCCAACACCATCTGACAAACTGCCTGTAGGCTATATGCCGCAAACGTTTGTGTTCAGGCCCATCATATCCACCAAATTGCTGTCGGTATGCATACCATGCAGTTTCCAACACGTCTGAATCGGTGCAAACAACAAGGAAAGCTGGATTTAGAGTAATACACTCAGGAACGGAAATATTACGCTTAATAGAAGACGAACTATTTTTTCTTACAACATTGTCGATTTCTTTGCAGCAAACGCATTCTCTTTCTGTATCCTGTCGTTGACAGTGGCCGCCACATTCACACCAGTCGTCGTTCATTGTTCTCAACTCGACTTCAACATCGCTGTCTTCATTGCCGGAATTAGAACCAGAAATTGACCCTTCGGGCTCGAACATATATGGATGGACTCCTTCAATAGCCTCTCTCTTCCTCCCCGCCTTCATGTTCAATAATCATAGAGCCACTCGAACTACTTGAAGTACTACTTGAACTTTCAGCCATTTTGGAAAACTATCTGAGCGCGTGTTCCACCCGTGACGTCACCGAGCGAATTTCGCGATGACAAGTTTTCGGCTTCTCATTTTCTTAGTTTAAAACATTTTTCTTTATTTTTTTTTTTTACAGAAAGTTTTTGGGGTTCGGTTCTATGGCGCTTGGACTTTAAAGAATAATACTTCAATTTAATACTAAATTTGAAATGAAAAGAAAGAGGCAAAATGTATCAATTAAGTAAAATTAAGAGTGAAAATTAAAAAAAAAGGAATTGAATGCAAATTAAAATAAACAAACCTCTCCTTTTGTGGTAGCTCATTGATAACAAAGTAAACTGGCCATACTCCATAACTTGTGGATTTTATTAAGGCAACCCCATCTGTATTACCTAAAAGAGATATATTATGTGGATCCCAAAGAAACTTCCCAGGAGAGAAATGCATCTTGTACAATTCACCATCAAAAACATCTTCAACAGAATCATCATCTTTTTCTCGTTAAAAGCGATAATGCAGTTTTTCCAGCATCTCTTTACCTGTTGACATTGTGATAACATAAATTCTATAAAATATAGCTTTTTATACACTGTAGGCATAGAATGACATTTATTTTATTATAAAGAGTGAGGTTTGATCTTAATATAGTTTTGTAATCATGTTTGTTGTCACAAAAACTATTAAGAGAGGTTGTCCGTAAATATCGCCCAAAGCTGGTAAAGTCCCAATAAACAAAATCACTCAAACTCTGCCTGATGATAAGGTGAGTGGACCTGATAATAGAAAAAGGGTTTAAGTTTGATTGGCTAAATATTTTTGGCGAGAAGGAGGCATTTCGGTTATCCCGCCGATCAGGCCCTTGTTTTCGACATTATTCGAGTGGTCTGAGAAAAAGTATGTTTTCAGCTTCTAATCAACAAATAATGCTCAATTCAATTTAATTGCTGTAAAATATAGATATTAATGAATATTTGGAAGCAAAATAATTTACATTTCATTGAGAGGGGAATGTTTTAGCGATTAGTGAAGTTTGTGACTTGTTTTGACTAAACATTTTACCATAGGACACTAAAATCAAAATATCGCCACTGGTACCTCGAATTAGATCATAAGAATACTTCCAGCATGTTAAGCAAGAGTAGATCTTTCGATATATGAACATTTTTGGGCCAGTCAAAATTTCAAGAGTTTGAGGAGGTTACACAAAGGTCAAATTCGTCAAATTCGGCTTTTGACTCGAGCGGCAATATCAAAGAAATATATACGATAAAAACACTCAATGTTCAAAATGCGCCAGGTTAAATGAATCTATTCAAAATATTTCTTCTATTATTTCTCAATGGAGGTCTTGAGCTTTCTTTGTCTCTATAATTTGCAATATTTTCATAATTCGAGTCGTGAGTGAACTGATTATTTGTTTACCATTGTCAAGTGGAAACTTCTAACGCTTCTACTCTTCCAAGAAGGTTCTCTGTGATCATCTATAAACTCATATAGCATCCTTGTACTTATTTATCCTTGATTCTTTCCGTATACACTTCCAAAATGTTTTTAAATAGCATGTCAACAGTAAATCAACAGTACGGCTGACTGCAAACTGTTATCGATTACGTGACACACAGGAAGCCCAGGTTACTGATTGTACCATATATTTCTCTTGCTGAATGAGTTGCACCTTGACGGACGAGTGTTCTCCGTGTTTACTACAAGTTCTCTTAAAATATTTTTGTAAAGTATTCAATTGAAGTAATTGAACGTGATGATATTCTTGAATAAAAACTTGATGCCGTTGTAAACTAAGTTAGTCTTCCTTTCACCATAACTGTTTTTAACTGTCAGGTCAGACGATGAGTCTGCTACTGGTAACATTGTAACCCAGTACAACCTGCCTCATGGACGGGTCGTCGGCGTCTAAACCGGCTCCCCCACCAGTCTAACTGGTGAGGAGGGTGGCATGTACACCCAGCAGGACTAAAAACAAGACCTGTCAAAGGGCGAATGAGCTCATCTGAGCCACCGGCCATCATGCATGCTTCTTTATTCCTTGTATGTATTTTTTGTAGTGTCATTTATATTTTAATTTTTATTGTTGTAATTTTTAAGTTTGATATCTTGGGACGGACTAAGAGCGGCAGCCATGAGGCGCCATCTTAAGCTCGCAGTCTACCATGACTCTGTCATTGTAATTGTTTGTAATTTAAAAGCGCTTAGAGCAGATTTGTATAAGCGCTGTATAAAATAAAATTATTATTATTATTATTATTACTGTACTATTACTGAAAACGAAATGCAAAAAAACTGTTTATTACGATACGATGTATTGTTAAATAGATATATGTTATTTACTGGCTGGGTTGTCCGTATAGGAAAACACTGCCCGAGGTCTTGACAGTACGGAAAGAGCGCAGTGAGGGCAAATTTTCCCTATACGGACCGACCTATAGCCGGTAAATAACATTTTTATAATTTTATTTGTATTTTATGCAACTTTGCTCGCAGTTTAGCTGCAGGTTACCGTGGACCGGGGAGATCGTGAAATATCGGACCGCGCGCTACCGACAAAAAAAAGGATTCTTATGAATCCCAAAGCACTTCTCAGTACTGCACGATACTGCATGCATGGGAAAAAATAAAACTATTTTTTCTGATATCGACGTCGTCTACTAAACTAAAAAGACCTTACCTTAATTATTGTGTCTCAATGGAACACGTGCACATTCCTACCGCTTCATTTATCAATTTTATGTACGGATCCTTGCGGTGGCCAGAGATGTTGCTGCAATCCAAGTCGAAATGTTCACAAATAGAGCGAGGCATTGCAATGTTAAATTTCTTCTTGAGATTATCGTAATGTGTCAATTCGCAAATGTTGTAACTATCATATACCATTGGATGAGACAACTGGCACTCATCTAATATTTGTTGACGAGCTGAGTAAAAGGCATTCTCGTCCTCGGCCGCCAAGTTATATTCAACCGCTTGTTCTTCGTCAGTGGCTGCCGCCCTCACTTGCAGGTGTTGTTGCGTTTCCAAGCTTCGACGCCATTCTTGAGAAGTACGAGTTAATCTGCCGTGCAGTTAAAAATTCTTCCGCAGCAAATACCCGGCTTCCATTTCCATTCTTTGCATACCTCATGTCACGAGACACCGTTGCTCCGTCAATTTTGTGACCAGTCTTTTGCCCAATGTCAAATTTCCTGTCTAGGTATTCTTTCTGTTTTTCTCTAAATCGTTTAGCTTGCTTACCTCTATTCAGAGCCCATCCTTCCGGAGCACCGGAGTTTGATTTAGAAATAGTTACTGTGTTGGTTGACATGGATGGGACGGTAGAAGCGCCTTCTAACAGCTTTTCCCTATATAGTAGCTTTACTCTGTCTAAGAGGTTACGCTTTTCTTCTACGAGCTCGCACTTCCCATAAAGTATGTGCCTTTCAAGACTCGAATAGCGCTGGTACAATTTAACGCAGCCTTCGTTTGGACATCTGAACAGGGGTGGCACTTGATCATCCTTCTCACTGCTAGAATCGTTTGTGTTTGTAGTATCTTCTTCTTTCTTTTTACCTTGTTTCTTCTCAACAACAGTCACAAAGTCACCATCCGACACAGGGGAATCTAGTTTATGATGTAAAATCATTGACGCTGCTTCTGAAAACGAAAATCAGTCGTTTTAAGTATATAATAATCAATTTCATATGCACTTACTGGGATCTTATATGATGCTTCGATAGAAACTATTATCAGTAAAGCAGACAGTAACCGAGCTTGCATTTTGCTAATTGCTTTCGAAATTACATTTTAATTGGGCGCACATTTTTAAAATTATTTTTAGATCGACTAAGAGTAATAGGGCTAAAGTTATTATATTAACAAAATGCGTATATAGAATAAAATGATAAATTGAATAAATTGAAGAAAAAGGCACACAACTTGCAACTAGTATTCCTACTCTTTATTCGAACATTTCGGCACTTCGGCCTTCTTCAGCAAACTAATAAAATGATATATACGTTATTACCTGGTGTCCAGTCAACTGACACTCTGATATCATATGCCCTCCACATAGTTAGCTTCTTATCGGCGAACGAAAAATTGTTCATCAGACTAAAATTGGCATTGGTGCAGAGGTTTTGCAGTCGGATAAGTCAACAAGACTAACCCTAACCCCACGTAGCCCAGAGTTGGATAAAACGGCAGTCTCCAAGTTCTCRGCATTTAAAACATCGTGGCCYTCGTTAATATATCGTCTGATATGAGCCTTAACAGATGCTGCCTTTCTATCGCATGCACCTTTCCCACCCTGGCGATCACTGAAGTCCACGCGCTTCACTGCAATGCCTGTCAGTTTCTYCATCTTATGACAGGCGGTTAGCATGATAGCTCCATGATAGCATGAAGCGTTGTCTTGACGATAGATTGCTTCGGTTATCTCTGGATGTTCCGTCATTAGTTGGCGCAGAGTATGCTCTAAAATGGCAAACACATTGTAGCCGTCCTGACTGCTGTTTTTTGCAATATGGATGAATGCCTGGGTCTCAAGATTTCTTGCGGCAGATCGTCGAACAACCACGCTGATATGCCAAACCAATCTGCTTGCGTTTCGCGATATTTTTGTGTCAAAAATTTCATCGCCCAATCTTGAGTAACTAACACAGTCTTTTCATCCAAAAAATCAATGGCATCAATCCTTGCTTGGTTTTGTCTCATGCAGCGTAACTGGTGTGATGTTGGAGGTATTTTCGATCCATCTGGATCCCCTGAAACATTGGTTTTTATTAGACAGTGACCTCTGTGGAACAGCTCCAAAGAGATTTTGTGAAAGTGAACTTTTTAAGATCTTTGCAGACGAAGTAAAGCATAGAAACCTACACGAATGCCGAGATCAAAATGGCGGGATTCTACCAAAACCGAAGGGAAAGCACGATGATTTTATTTTTGTGGGATCAACGTTTGCTGTT